CCTTCCTTCCTTCCTTCCTTCCTTCCTTCCTTCCTCCTCCTCCTCCTCCTCTTCTTCTTCTCCTGTTCTTTTCTTCTTCCTCTCTTCTTCTTCTCCTCCTCCTTCCTCCTCCTCTGTTTCATCTTCTTTTCTTCTCTTCTTCTCCTCTTTCTCTTCCCTCTTCCTGTTCTTCTTCTTCTTCCTTCCTTCCTTCCTCCTCCTCCTCCTCCTCTTCTTCTTCTCCTGTTCTTTTCTTCTTCCTCTCTTCTTCTTCTCCTCCTCCTCATTCCTCCTCCTCTGTTTCATCTTCTTTTCTTCTCTTCTTCTCCTCTTTCTCTTCCCTCTTCCTGTTCTTCTTCTTCTTCCTTCCTTCCTTCCTTCCTCCCCCTCCTCCTTCTCCTCCTCCTCCTCCTCTTCTTCTTCTCCTGTTCTTTTCTTCTTCCTCTCTTCTTCTTCTCCTCCTCCTTCCTCCTCCTCTGTTTCATCTTCTTTTCTTCTCTTCTTCTCCTCTTTCTCTTCCCTCTTCCTGTTCTTCTTCTTCTTCCTTCCTTCCTTCCTTCCTCCCCCTCCTCCTTCTCCTCCTCCTCCTCCTCTTCTTCTTCTCCTGTTCTTTTCTTCTTCCTCTCTTCTTCTTCTCCTCCTCCTTCCTCCTCCTCCTCCTCTATTTCTTCGTCTCTTCTTCTCTTCCTCTTCTTCCTCCTCCTCCTCTGTTTCATCTTCTTCTCTTCTCTTCTCTTCTTCTTCCTCCTCCCTCTTCCTGTTCTTCTTCTTCTTTCTTCCTTCCTTCCTCCTCCTACTCTTCTTCTTCTTCTCCTGTTCTTTGCTTCTTCCTCTCTTCTTCTCCTCCTCCTTCCTCCTCCTCCTCTACTTCTTCATCTCTTCTCTTCTCCTCTTCTTCCTCCTCCTCCTGTTTCATCTTCTCTTCTTCCCCTCTTCCTGTTCTTCTTCTTCTTTCTTCCTTCCTTCTTCCTCCTCCTTCTCCTCTTCTCCTGTTCTTTTCTTCCTATCTTCTTCTCCTCCTCCTCTGCTTCTTCGTCTTCTCTTCTTCTCTTCTCCTCTTCTTCCTCCTCTTCTTCTTCTCTTGTTCTTTTCTTCTTCCTCCCTTCTCCTCCTCCTCCTCTACTTCTTCGTCTCTTCGTCTCTTCTCCTCCTCCTCTTCCTCCTCCTCCTCTGTTTCATCTTCTCTTCTTCTCCTCTTCCTCCTCCCTCTTCCCGTTCTTATTCTTCCCACCCATCTCATAATAGGGACTCTGGGCAACTTGGAAATTTTTAAATTAGTGCTGAAATAAAATATAAAACATAGCACTCCGTGTAGCACTTAAGTCTAAACAAAAGAAGGCAGCTAGTCCTTGACTTACAATGGTTCATTTAGTGACTATTCGAAGTTACACTGGAAAAAAGTGACTGATGATCCTTTTGCACACTTACGACGGTTGCAGCATCCCAGCAGTCATGAGATCAAAATTAAGACGCTTGGCAACTGACTCGTATTTATGACGGTCGCAGTGTCCCGAGGTCACGTGATTCCCTTTTGGCGACCTTCTGACAAGCCAAGTCGACGGGAAAGCATGTCACTAACTGAAAAGCTACAGTGAATCACTTAACAACTGTGGCAAGAAAGGTCGTAAAATGGGGCACAACTCACTTAACAGCTGTCTCGCTTAGCGATGGAAATTTTGGCCTCGTTGTGGTCGTAAGTCGAGGACTACCTGTATATCCCTGGAGGGGCGGGAATATGCTTCAGAATGCTTTGAGGTCTTTCAGATTTTGTCTGAAATGGTATAGGTTTTCCTGCCTGAACAGGGGGTTGGACTAGAAGACCTTCAAGGTCCCTCCCAGCTCTATTCTGTTCTGTTTATTCTATTTTCCCTTCCCTTCTCCCTCCCTTCCCTTATCCCTTCCTTCCTTTTTCCTTCACTTTTCTTCCTTTCTTTTCCCTCCCTTCCCTTTCCTCTTCCTCTCTGTTTCTCCTTCTTCTCTCCCCTTCCCCTCTCTTCCCTTCTCCCTCCCTTCCATTATCCCTTCCTTTCTTTTTCCTTCTCTTTTCTTCCTTTCTTTTCCCTCCCTTCCCCTTCCTCTCTGTCTCTCCTTCTTCTCTCTCTCTTCCATTATCCCTTCTTTTTCCTTCACTTTTCTTCCTTTCTTTTCCCTCCCTTTCCTCTTCCTCTCTGTCTCTCCTTCTTCTCTCCCCTTCCCCTCTCTTCCCTTCTCCCTCCCTTCCATTATCCCTTCCTTTCTTTTCCCTCCCTTCCCTTCCCTCCTTCTTACTGTCTCTCCTTCTTCTCTTCCCTCCCCTCCTCTTTTCTACTTTCTATTTTGTTCTGTTCCGTTCCATATTTTCTATTCTATTCCATTCCATTTTCTATTCTATTTTCTATTCCATTTTCTATTCCATTTTCTATTCNTGCTGACTCTCTGTAAACCGCTTAGAGAGGCCTGAAAGGCCTATGAAGCGGTATATAAGTCTACTGCTATTGCTATTGCTATTGCTATTATTCTTCCATCAACACCGTGCAAGAGATTTTGAGTAATTGCACTACAGCTTTGGAAGTGCAATTCCCAGAAAGTGGCTGGCTTGATTCCATTCCCATTGGCTTCCACAGAAAGCATTTTTCTTTTACTCAGCATTAAGATGCAGCTTTTGGAGAAAGGCAAACACATAACTCATGAAACTATTTGAAATTTCCTCCTGGTTTTCTGGCTGAAAACATAACATACAAAGCTTTTGTTATCTAAGTTATGGTCCAGTAAATTAGACCTGAAATTAGAGGAACTGAAGACAAATCACTTGTGTATAACAATAAGTACATGAGACCCAATGATTGTGGGATGAAAATTTCTTTAAGGTATTGACTAGAAGTGAGCAAGAGTGCTTGTTGTTTGTTGCTGTTTGTTGCTCAAGGATGATTTCTGGAGCAGGTAGAATCTTCTTAGAAACAACAACAAAAATGCTCTTACACAGGCAATGATTATGATGTATCGGGTGCCAACGTAGTCAGGACACTCCTTGCCAAGGAAGACAGATTACTGGGATTTCATACTTTTGTTTACTACACTGAAAAAACAGCAGCAACAAAGCAGTATTGGTCAAATAGCCATTTTAGAGAATGTGTGGCTATAATGAACCTAATCCATCAGAGTTCAGTTGAAACTACGTGTGTAAGGTATAGGTTCTACAGTCTTGCATAAACCTATTTTGTAACTCATTCAAAATATCTAGTGCAGAAAATTGGTCTAACAAATATCTAATGAATGGATGGCACTTATGTGACAATCTCATCTTCAAAACACCATACAGTTCAGATACAAGAAGATCAGGAAATCTACCCTGATCTGCAGATTATACCGGGAAGTTTGGGTGGGTGGGGGGGGGAGAGAGAAGATGGCAATTTTTTAAGATGGTAGAAGGCAGGAGCCCATTCTGTGCCAGGTATCATACGTAAATGACAGAATTTCCTTTTATGCTCATAATATTGTAAGAAGATAGTTATTAAGTGGCTTTGGTATAGTAAATAACAATTGCAGCATTGATCTCTGAAAATTTGCTTGTCATTAAAATTGAATTTTGTTCAGTAGGAAATGGAAAGAATCAGATGTGTACCACAAGATGAATTTGGGCAAAATTCAGAAGTTAAAGTGTAAAACAGTGCCAAAACAAGATAAAATGATGAGATAAGCATCCATTTGATAATTCAGATGAAGATTATGGTGCTGGAAATAAAAAAAGTATTGGAAATAAAAAAAATAGAATATAATGTAATGAAAAAGGGATTCAAGTTACCTTTTAAAAGCTATTTCTTTGTTCTATCAGGTGAGTTCTCCATATTTTTAATTACATGAACACATAGATGTATTTATTTTGTCTTCGTTTTTGCAAAACAAAATGATAGCCATTTATAAACATAGTCATACCATTGACTATTTTAAAAACCCTTCAGCATGTCATTCATATTGTTGCAGTCATTATATACTCCAGGCTTATGTTAAAATGATACAAAGATTGACCTTTTAAAAAATGTATATACTTAAAACATTTAGCTGTCTCTGAGGATAAAAGCCATCCAAGTCAGTTTATGTGATAAACTCTAACATAGTAAAATGTCATATAATAATAATATTGTTGCACTCAATCCATAAGCAAAGTAGAAAGCTTGGTTTAATAGGTGTATTTAGGTACATTTTCACTTTCAATCTTTGCTAAGAGTTCAATCTTTTGATAGGCGATAACACACAAATCCAAGAAATAAATTATATGACCCAAATTGTACTAAAATCAAAGTCCTAACTGCATTCTAATTGCCAATAAAAATGAACAGAACAAGGGATCTTGACCTAGCCGTTATTTGTGTTCTGTGAAGTCGGTACATTCAGAGACCGTGGATATTTCTGTTCCTCTTAGGCTGAGTGAAAAAGACCCCTTATAAGTCCCAAAGGTGCTTTTCCAGGAGGCAACTGGACTTTCTTGTTTTTTCTTTTGAAGACATTTCACTTCTCATCCAAAAAGCTTCTTCACCTCTGACAGGATAGTGGGGAATGGAAGGACCCTCTATAAATGCATTTGAATGTTCTTTGCTGAATCATCATCAGTGCACTTTGATTGACAGCTTGATATTCTGGTAGAACCTAAATTTATACTTTCTTAAAGGAAAAAGAATACCAGGAAATTGTATGGGTTCTCCAAGAAACTGTGGTTAAATAACTGTTTGATGCAAAGCTTGGAAAAAAACAGATTATCTAGATCAGTAGTTCCCAAAGTGAGCAGTACCGCCCCCTGGGGGGCAGTGGGATGACTTAGGGGGGCGCTAAGAGGCAAGGGGGGTGGCAGGGAGTGCTAAGAGGCAAGGGGGGGCAGCAGGGAGCACTAAGAGGCAAGGGACTAGATCATTAGATGAACTATAAGGTCCCTTCCAAGTCTGTCATGAGTTTGTAGGGTAGGAGGTAGGCAGTTGCCCGAGGCCATGGCTCTTAACCCCAAGAAGTAGATAATGCCCCCCAAGCACCATCCCTCCCTTTCCCAATAGCTCACCTAGAGTGGCGGGTGCCGGGCTGGATGGCCAGCCATGGCCCTTTCCCATGCAGTTCTGTCCGCAGATGCTGCCAGTGTCGGCCGTCCTACTTCCTCGTCTGATTTGTCTTTCTCTTCATTCGCTCCATAACAAGCAGAGGATTGCACAGTCTGGGCTCCATCTCCTCCCGCTGCCTCTCCTGGCCAGCGGTGGGTGAGGCAGCAGCTATGCCAGATGCCCTTTGGGGACCTGGACAAGCCTTGGTGCAGGGACCGGGAGGGCGGGGGGGATGCAGTCCAAGGCCGACTTAGGACACGCGTCTCTTGGCCCCTAATACAACTCATGGAATCTGAAAGGACTAAAGAAGGCCTGGGCAGATGATATCCCATGCCTTACACCATCATAGACAAGTGATGCAAATTGCATATGTGACCTCTGTCATAATGGGGCTAACACAAATTATATTGTGTCGTTTAACCTTGGCATCATGACATCTGTGCTAACCTCATGGTTCCCCAATTGCCCTGTTGACACAAGGAATCATTTTGCCTTTGCCAGCTATTTTCTCAAAATATGCAATCACAACCACTGAAACCTTTAAATGTTCATGTTGATATAATCTGTAAAATTCCTTCAAGAACTGTGTATTGTTTAAAGTTTCATGTTAGGAAATATTTGCTTGTGCAATTAGCCTTTCCCTTTCTCTTGCATATCCCACATTCCCCTTAATGCACCATGAAGAATTCAGAGCAAATTTGATGGTATATAGGATGCTGTAAAGACAAAGTGGGATCTGCTCCCCCAATGATATTTCTTACTATGGCAGAGGATATAAAGGCATGTAACAGTGTTGATTCAAGAGGTATTAAGAGAATACAAATGTTTTAAGCAAAGTGAATATTTTTTNGGGGAGGGAGCTGGAACCGGTTCTAAACGGCACTGTAGATTTGTGGAACCTCTTCTATAGAAGAGGTTAGAACTGGCAGGAACCCACCCCTGACTGTCTATCTAGAGATTGACCAGAGTATATTCCCGAGAGGCTCGCATCACTGGGTGGAGGGGCGAAGGCTGTGAGTTGTAACAGTGTGTTGTCCTTGTGTGGTGCCTTAAAAGTCCTCTGTCTTGCAGCTTGGAGTGCCGGCGATGTGCAGTAATTGGGAATGGTTACCGGCTGAGAAACAGCTCCATCGGAGAAGTCATTAACAAATACGATATTGTGATCAGGTATTGAGAAGCAGAGGGGGCCGGTGTTTGTCTGGGTCATTTCCATGTGTGGCAGACAGGTGGTGCTCTCGCCTCACAATCAGGAGGCTGTGAGTTCGATCTTAGAAAGAGGCAGATATTTCTCTCTCTGGATACAATGAGAATATATCTGCTTTAACAAAACTCCGCACAGGCAACAGGAAGGGAATCCGGCCATTAAACACTCAGCTCCTTTCATATATCCATATGTTGCCCAGACTCCACCCCTCCACCGCAAGGGATTATTGGGTCATTAAAAGAAGATGATTTCCATCTATATCAGAGCGGGCCAGAAAATTACTCATCATGTGGAAAAAATTAGGCCTGAGCATATTAGGGCATATCTTTGGCTTCAACGTTGGAATACCTGATGCTGGGGTGCTGTTTCCGCCAATATTCAGGCAGTCCTTGACTTACAACCATTTGTTTAGTGCGGTGTTTCTCAACCTTGGCCCACCTGAAGATGTGTGGACTTCAGCTCCCAGAATCCCCGAGCCAGCAGAGCTGAAGATGTGTGGACTTCAACTCCCAGAAGCCCCCAGCCAGCAGAGCTGAATATGTGTGGACTTCAACTCCCAGCATCCCCCAGCCAGCAGAGCTGAAGATGGATGGACTTCAACTCCCAGAATCCCCCAGCCAGCAGAGCTGAAGATGCGTGGACCTGAAGATGGGTGGACTTCAACTCCCAGAATCCCCCAGCCAGCAGAGCTGAAGATGCGTGGACCTGAAGATGGGTGGACTTCAACTCCCAGAATCCCCCAGCCAGCAGAGCTGAAGATGCGTGGACCTGAAGATGGGTGGACTTCAACTCCCAGAATCCCCCAGCCAGCAGAGCTGAAGATGCGTGGACCTGAAGATGGGTGGACTTCAACTCCCAGAATCCCCCAGCCAGCAGAGCTGAAAATGCGTGGACCTGAAGATGCGTTGACTTCAACTCCCAGAATCCCCCAGCCAGCAGGGGATTCTGGGGGTTGAAGTCCACGCATCTTCAGGTGGGCCAAGGTTGAGAAACACTGGTTCAGTGACTGCTTGAACAGCACTGAAAAAAAGCGACGTGTGACCAAAATTCGGATGCTTTGCAATTGGTTCAGATTTTTGACCATTGCTGTGTCTTTAGGTCCTGTCATCCCCTTTTGTGACCTTCGGACAAGGTATGTCAATGCGGAAGCCAGGTTCACTTAGCGACTGTGTCACTAGCTTTATCAACGGCAGTGAGGTCACTTCACAACTGTGGCAAGGAAGGTGGTAAAATGAGGCAAAACTCACGTGGTAAATGTTTCACTTAACAACATAAATATTTGGGCCTCAATTGTGGTCGTAAGTCAAGGTCTACCTGTATTTACGATGGTTGAAGTGCCACACGATCCCCTTTTGCGACCTGCTGGCCAGCAAAGTCGATGGGGACGTCAGATTCCCTTAATGGCAGCATGGTTCCCTTAGCAACGGCAGGGATTGGCTTACACCTGTGGCAAGAAAGGTCGTAAAATGGGACAAAACTCATTTAACAACTGTCTCGCTTAGCAATGGAAATTTTGGGCTCAATTGTGGTCATAAATCGAGGACTAACTTTTTTTTTTTTTAAAAAAAAAATATTACTGGACCAGTTCTTGAAGAAAAAACATGCTCAGTTCTCATGTTCCATGTTTCCTGCCCAAATGACCAATGGCTGCTATTCAGGCTTCCGTTTCCTATAGCTGGAATATTTCCTAGTAGCAATAGCACTTAGACTTATATACCGCTTTAGTGCTTTAGAGCCCTCTCTAAGTGGTTTACAGAGTCAGCCTATTTCCCCCAACAATCTGGGTCCTCATTTTACCCACCTCAGAAGGATGGAAGGATGAGTCAACCTTGAGCCGGTCAGGATCGAACTGCTGGCAGCTGGCAGTGGGCAGAATTAGCCTGCAATACTGCATTCTAACCACTCAGAAGGAAGGGAAGGGAAGGGAAAGGAAGGGAGGAAAGAAGGAAGGAAGGAAGGAAGGAAGGAAGGGCACTTAGACTTATGTACCACTTTACAATGCTTTACAGCCCTCTCTAAGCTTTTTATAGAGTCAGCCTCTTGCCCCCAAGGTCTTCCTACGTGAATCCATGCCCGTGTCATTGTGTATCTCCTTTTCTCTTCCTGTCTCCAGGCTGAACAATGCGCCGGTCCGCGGTTACGAGCGTGACGTGGGCACCAAAACCACCATGCGTCTTTTCTACCCCGAGTCAGCCCACTTCAATCCTCAGACCGACAACAACCCGAACACGTTGTTTGTCTTAGTGGCGTTCAAACCCATGGATTTTTTGTGGATGGAGACCATTCTCCATGACAAGAAGAGAGTAAGTGGTGAGCCGTGCTTTGCTGTGTTTAATTGTGGGAAAGCATCTCCCCTGCCCGAGACAAGACAAGACCACTGATTCGGAAGCTCTTTTCTTCCAACCTCCAAAGCAGAGTGGTGTGTTATAAATACTGATTCGTTTGTGGCGTTGAACGTGGGACGCCCAATTTTGGTCTCACGTAACCGAGCTCATTCGGTAGATGTGGACAAGATCTATTTTCTTTATCTAGTTTCCTTGTCCGTCAATCAGAATCAGAATAGAGCTGGAAGGGACCTTGGAGGTCTTCTAATCCAGCCCCCTGCTCAAGCAGGCGATCCTATAGCATTTCAAACAAGTGGCAGCTGCCGGAACTTCAGATCCAGGTTGTAAGTACCTCCAGGAAGATCTCTTGTAACTTCAAATGGTCAGTAGGCAACCGGTCGTAAATTGAGGACATCTTGATGAAAAAGGTTTTCTTCTTGTAAACCTCCAGTGATGGAGCGCCCATGATTTCTGAAAGCAACTTCTGTTCCACTGGTTAATTGTCCTTGTTGTTAGGAAGTTTCTCCTCCATTCCAGATTGCTTCCCTCCTTGATAAGTTTCCATCCATTGCTAGAATGGTAGAAACAACATTGCTTCACTAAGTCCTTTTGCAATTGGAGAAGGCAGAAGGAATTACCCCGAGGAACAGGAAGAAAAGCAGTCAAATAAAGATACTTGTCCAATAAAAGAAACCTGAGTCTAAGACCGAAAGGAATTTTGAGAATGCTTTCAGATAAGACCTGCCCTGCTTTTCATTTCTCCTTTTAAAGGGACACGGTGGCTCAGTGCCTAAGACGCTGAGCTTGCCGATCAGAGAGGTCAACAGTTCAGTTGTTTTTTTTTTTGTTTATTATTTATAGGCCGCCCTTTTCCCTGAGGGGACTCAGGGCGGCTTACAATTCATGGGACGGGGAGTGCAAGACAATATAACACAATACGTGAATAAACAAAATAATAACAATAAAACACAACAGTCATTCAACATTCAGGTGGGGCGGCGTAATCCTTATCCCCAGGCCTGACGGGATAGCCAGATCTTAAGGGCTGTGCGGAAGGTCTGGACGGTGGTGAGGGTGCG